CGGCGTCGGCCAGCGCACATGCTCGCTCACGTCATCTTATCAGTCGATAATATTATTACTTATTAGATTAGTTATAGCTAGTATTATTTGTTTGTTTTGGGTATAATTTTTTGTATTAGTTATATATTTGTTGTCTTTTTTAATGCGCGATGAAGCTTTTTGCGTGTATTTTCTTTGAAGTAAATGCAAATAAATAAATGAAGCACCATTAGCATGTAAGGTTCGAATCCATAATTAACATTTCGACAAATATTATAATTTACACTATAAAAAGCTAATTCAAATATTAGCAGTATAGTAGTAGTACAGTTAAAAATAACCCTAATACCTAACCACAATATCTTAGTAGGTATAGTGATTCGGTAAAAAGTAACTAAGTAGGCATTAATATACCTAACTAGTATAACTAATCACAATAGGTACCTATGTAGGTATTATGATTAGATAAAAGGTAGGTACTTATCTAAATAGTTACCTAATTTTACTAAGTAGGTAGTAGGTACTAATACCTTTTTTTTAACATGGGGAAATGCCTACGCATACCCGCCTTGCGGGATCAAGGACGGGTTATGTCGGACTCGCACCGACTAAAACCCCATGGTGTTCCACCTTCGTCGTATATTGGCAGAACTACGGGAACGCTTTTGCACACATCCGCGGCCCCACCTGCGCTGGCCGCCTCATGGCGGCCTCTCCTCGGGAGAGGACTACTCCTCCCCTATCTCCTTCTCAGGTAAGGCGCAACAGAACACATGGCGCGCCCTCCTCCTAGGCCTCCAATTTTCAATGCGCAACAGACGCCCCCGTGTCCGATGCGCAAAGGCCATGGGACCAGGAAAAACTAGCACTGAAAAGCACCGGCCTTCCTAACCCCAGCGGCGGATCTCGTCTATGGCTCCGCCGTATGGTAGGGAGAGCGGCGCCTCGCAATACCAACACCCCCTCCCCCCGCAGCCCCACCACAACCGCATCGATTAACGGTGCGGCCCCGTCAGAGTCGCGGAGAATAGGGCGAGTGACGCATCGCCATACCAACTGTTTGGTAGTTTGTTATGAAGAAAACACTGGAGACGTTTTTGATTTGTTATATTTTTGATTTCTTATATTTACGCGAACACTACACATTTTTAAATAAAATTAATTTTACGGATTTTATCGCGTATATTAACTTATTTTTAAAGAAAAAGATCTATTAAAACCCGCGTTAAAGAACATATAGCTGACGTGAAGCACCGACGTATCGGGAAGTCTGCAGTTTGTGAACATGTTCAGGATCGTCCCCGTCATTACATTAGATTTGATAGACCACAAATCCTCGCAAAAGAACACCGATTCCTCCCAAGGATGATTCGCGAGGCTATTGAAATTAAAAAAAACATCCTAATTTCAATAGAGAAGATGGATGGGTGCTGCCATCTGCTTGGGATCCCATAATTAATAAAATCAAATCCAAACCCAAGTATACCACTGCTAGACTTCAAGATACTGTAAGCTCATTCTGCGTAAATCGAACCAAAAATTAATATTAAAAAACTGAAGGTAGCCGGGCTAACTATGACAGCAGGACGTCAAACAACTCAGTCCCCCGTGACCACGGGTGCTGGAAAGCACCCGAAACGTCGGGAATATAAAAAATAAGTTAAAAATAAGTTAATATACGCGATAAAATCCGTAAAATTAATTTTATTTAAAAATGTGTAGTGTTCGCGTAAATATAAGAAATCATTATGTAAACCAGTACGGACTGGTAATTGCAAATAAAATTCGCCGATTAGAAGATCTCATGACTAAGCGCGCAAGATATGTAACATCATTGAATTTTCTGAAAAGGTGCCGCGACCACCAGCTCATTCCTACGTGCGTCAAAATATCTACTAAAAAGGACATTCGAGGAAGCGCTAAGATCTTAAATCAGGCAAGTAAAAAGTTGTTACGAACGGTGATTCAGCAAAAACGGTTCGATTTACAAATCATAAATAATACCATAGACAATTTGTCCAGTGAGTTAAAGACAGTTTTAACGACATTTGATTTTGATAATTGCATTGAAACTTTAAACAAACGCGAAATATCGAAATATAATGAATGCAAAGACAAACAAATAGAAAAATACCAAAAATTAACTATCAAATCAAATGCCAAACATCCATGTCAACGTAGAAACGAAACGCAACAACCGTTGACCACAGACGCAAACAATAAACAACGCACGGTCTATAATTTGTCAAAAGAAACACTGGACGAAGTTACAATAAAAGTATTGTCGAAAGGCTTAAATTTTGCTATAACGCCGCAAAAAATCCCGTACGAGGAAATTATCTGTAGTGTTGAGGATTGTCTGTTTAAGAATAATATCGGTAAAGAGGATTTAGAGGCTATACGTCAAGACATTTCGTCCTTGTTACGTCGAAGTTCAGCGCCGAAATTAAACCTCTCCAAAGACGAATTTAAAGCGTTGTACAACTTACGCAACAGACCAGAGCTCACGATTCTCCGCGCGGATAAAGGAAATGCTACGGTAATAATGGACACGTCAGAGTATAATTTCAAAATACAACAACTTTTATCGGACGTAAGTACATACAAAAAGGTCAAAATAGACCCTACAACTAATACTCTCAAAACAACTACTGATTTAATAAAGAAATACTCCGAAAAATTAGATCTTGACGTGAATTCGACAATACCATCATGTGCCAAACCACCGAGGTTGTATGGGTTACCGAAAATACACAAACCAAACGCTCCACTACGTCCTATAGTAAGCCAGATCGATTCACCAACTTATAAGTTGGCTCAACACTTGGCAAAAATACTGTCACCACTAAGAGGACATACCAGAGCACACACAAAGGATTCATACCAATTTGTTAGTGAGATTAAAGACCTACATCTCGCTGACAATGAAACTATGGTCAGTTTTGATGTTCAGTCACTATTCACATGCCTACCTATTGAAGACTGCATCTCAATTGTTACTAGAAAGCTAGAAGATAACAACATGCCTATAGAATATGCAGTATTACTCAAACACTGCCTCACATCTGGCTATTTATTGTGGAAAGAAGAGTTCTACATGCAAGTAGATGGAGTGGCAATGGGCTCACCTGTATCTCCCGTAGTCGCCGACATATTCATGGAGGACTTTGAGGAGAAAGCCCTTCTAACTGCTCCTGTAAATCCAAGATTCTACAAGCGGTACGTAGACGATACTTTCACAATTTTACCATCTGACAAAGTAACTGCATTTTTAAACCACCTTAATTCCATAAACCCTAAAATACAATTCACAATGGAGTTAGAGGCAAACAATACTTTAGCTTTTCTAGATGTTTTAGTCATCCGAAATACTGATAACACTATTGGTCATACTGTGTACAGAAAAAATACCCATACCAACCGATATTTAAATGGTGAATCTCACCATCATCCTTCACAGTTAGCTACCGTGGGAAAATCTTTGTTTCAGAGAGCACGAGGGATCTGTGACAGAAAACATCTGGCCGCCGAGCTTCAGCACGTCGAGCAAGTACTGCAAGACAACAAGCTTCGGGTCCCGCGCCTACGTCACAGTAACCGAGTGAAGCCAGCCACAGTCGAGCGTGTGCCTGTTGTACTACCCTATGTCAGAGGAGTCACAGACAAGGTTGGCTACATCTTGAAGCGAGCTTCCATTAAAACGTACTTCAAGCCGCTGAAGAAGATTGGTCAGTTTTTACCATCCGTCAAGTGTCATATCCCTCTACAAGATGCAGGAGTGTACAAGCTGGATTGTGAATGTGGTCTCTCGTACATAGGACAAACAAAAAGATCTATTAAAACCCGCGTTAAAGAACATATAGCTGACGTGAAGCACCGACGTATCGGGAAGTCTGCAGTTTGTGAACATGTTCAGGATCGTCCCCGTCATTACATTAGATTTGATAGACCACAAATCCTCGCAAAAGAACACCGATTCCTCCCAAGGATGATTCGCGAGGCTATTGAAATTAAAAAACATCCTAATTTCAATAGAGAAGATGGATGGGTGCTGCCATCTGCTTGGGATCCCATAATTAATAAAATCAAATCCAAACCCAAGTATACCACTGCTAGACTTCAAGATACTGTAAGCTCATTCTGCGTAAATCGAACCAAAAATTAATATTAAAAAACTGAAGGTAGCCGGGCTAACTATGACAGCAAGACGTCAAACAACTCAGTCCCCCGTGACCACGGGTGCTGGAAAGCACCCGAAACGTCGGGAATATAAAAAATAAGTTAAAAATAAGTTAATATACGCGATAAAATCCGTAAAATTAATTTTATTTAAAAAAAATTGTTATATTTTTCCTCACGCACCTTCGTGACAACCATTTTAATCGTAATGTGATAATATAATGTAATGTAATGGCCGCCTTTCCGACTGTGTCGCTAAAGCAAACAGCACAGATGCAGCGCCATCTATGGTTCTCTGTGTGAACGGTTTGTTCCAGTTAGGTAAGTAGTTTATGAAAGGAATGAGAATCATAGATGGCGCTTTACAAATGGTAAGGATAGATGGCGCTAATATTTATTTAGTTTACAACATGCTCCCCCCTTAAAATAGTTTAATATTTCTACTAATAATTTTAATTAGGTTACAATTAATTAAATATAAATAACTTGTGTATTATTATTTTGTTTCAAATAAGCCATCCACCTGTCCACCTACTCTGATGATTTTTCAGTGAAACCCACACAACATAAACATTTATTTTAGTTTCACAAATAAATATTGGGATGTACTAACTTAATGCAATACAGTTGAGTACTACATAATTATAACGTATGAATTTAAGATAAATTTGTTTGAAATAAGTATTACATATTATGAAATATGAATCTAAGTTACGGGCAAAAATAATATAATATAATAGTGTGACACTAAAGATACCTTAGGTTATTTAAATTGATACATAGGATACATTACTTGGTTACAAGAAAGGTTAATACTTAATGTACTAAGTTAAATAAGTAAGTTAATGATTATCTTGTATTGGTAGAGGACAAATCTTCGTGAACGAAAGCTTGATGCTTGAGCCCTGGGATGTCTTCAGTGTGGCCACGCGAGTCACTCCGTCGCCCCCGGGGTGTGTCTCGATGATCCTCGCCAGTCTCCAATGGCATGGTGGAGTGTGCTTGTCTTTGATGAGAACTATGGAGCCCGCTGCCAGAGTGGGTCCCTTGGAGCTCTGCCACTTGCCTCGTTGTTGGAGTAGCCCCACGTAGTCTCTTGAGAAGCCCTTCCAGAAGGATTGATAGATCTGTTGGAGTTGTTGAAAGTATTTAAGTCTATTGGTAGGGACTTCGTCGTATTGATAATCTGGTATTGCCACTGGGGTTCTTCCTATCAGGAAGTGAGCTGGTGTAAGGACTTGGAATACTTCAGAATCGGAAAAGGGAATAGGACATAAAGGTCTGCTGTTAAAGATTCCCTCTATCTGAATTAATACTGTTGAAAAACCTTCATAGGTAAGTAAACTTTGTTTCAGGACACGCTTTAGATGATATTTGCAACTTTTAACAGCGCCCTCTGCCAAACCATTCATATGAGGTGAGTAACTAGGTACAAACTTCCATACGATACCTTGCTCGGTACACGAGGTTGTCAATTCGTTAGAGCTCGTGTTAAGAAAATCGTATAACTTCCTTAACTCCCTATCGGCACCCCGGAAGGTGGTGCCGTTGTCGCTCACCACCACTCGTGGCTTCCCGCGTCTGGCTATGAACCTTCTAAACGCCGACAGGAAGCTATGAGTTTCTAGACCTGTAACAAGCTCAATATGTACGGCCTTCGTTGAAGAACATATAAAAATGGCTATATAAGACTTGTAAGTTTTGTAACCATGACCGTGCCTGTCTTTAAGCAGAAATGGACCCGCATAATCTAGTACCACAGTGTAAATGGTGGTGCTGGTTGCACTCTGTGACCTGGTAGGTCGCCCATAATAGGCGTTGTTGCCTGTGGCTTGGCTCTGAAGCAAGGTACGCATTCTCTATAAATGTTATTTGCTAAAAGCTTACCCTTGATAGGCCAGTACTGCTCCTTCATGCTAGACAGCAGCAGCTGAGGTCCTGCATGCATGAGGTGGACGTGCTCGTTCCTCATAATTAGCTTAGTTAATGTGTGATTGCCGTGTAGTATGATGGGGTGTTTTTTGTCAAATTCGTAGTGTGATTGACTAAGACGATCTCCTACCCTTATAAGATCATTGTCCATAAATGGTTTAAGACTCAAAATTTTTGAGGTTTTAGGCAATTGTGAATTATTTTTAAGTAGTTTGTATTCATTAGGAAATTATTCTATTTGTGTAAATATTATTAATTTAGTAGCAGCTTGCCTTTGTTCTTGACATGAAATTGCACTTGTAATTTTGTTATATTTGTTTTTATACAATTGTGGAAATATCTTAGTATGTATGCAAATATACGAAATATCTTTTTGTCACTGGACCACCTTGAAATTAAATCATTTATGAACGTGCTATCGTTAGCACCATTTTGTGTTGTGTTGCATAATGTTTTGTGTGGGGATTGTTTTGCCTTAAGCTCAATTAATTATGGTTTACTCAGAAATGTTGGACCTTCAAACCAAAATTTAGAGGTAGATGTGCAGTTAACAAATTTGTCTGGTAAAACTCCCCATGAAAAAAAATCTACAGGGTTTTCATTACTAGGAACCCAGCGCCATTTAGACTGGTCTGTTAGAGCTTGAATCTTGGTAACTCTGTTGGCTACAAATGTATTGAGCTTATGAGGATCTGCGTTTATCCACGCTAACGTGATGGTAGAGTCGGACCAGTACTGAATGTCGTCTATAGGTACTTTGAGTGCTGAATGCACATCCTTCATATAGACTGCCAACAATAACGCCGCACTCAATTCGAGGCGGGGTATAGTTATAGTTTTTAAAGGTGCTACTCGGGTTTTTGCAAATAATAATTGAACTAGAGTTTGGCCTTGTGCATTGGTTGTAAGCACATATATGGCTGCCCCATATGCTTCTGTGGAGCTGTCTGCAAACCCATGTAATTTGAAAGTTATATAATTGCTTATTGTAACTACTCTGGCGATCTGTAACAATCTTTGGTATTGAAGTGAATTGTAAAATGTTAACCAATCCTTTAAAAGAGTTTGTGAAATAGGTTGGTCCCAGTCCGACCCGGCCACCCATAGTCGTTGGATGAAGCATTCGGCAAGAATTAAGCTTGGGCCTAATAGGCCTAAAGGATCAAAGATACTTGAAACTCGAGATAAAATAACTCGTTTTGTTACATTATTTGGTATAGGTTGTAAGTTAATTGAATAATTCAAATTGTCGTTTTGGTTTGACCATTCAAGTCCTAATATTTTGTGTGGGCTATCCCCTGTTGGTCCAAGTTGGACGCCTTGTGGTGTTGTTGTACTTTCTGTTTGTGTAGGTAGTAATTGTTGAATATGTGTTGAATTGGTTTTCCACTTACGTAGATGAAAGTTAGCTATGCGCAGGACTCTGTCTACCTCCAGGGCGACCTGCGCGATCCTGTGCTCATCGTCACCTAAGTGAAGTAAGTCATCAGCGTAAAACTGCTCCTCGATTGCTGTGGCCGCTGCGGCTGCCACCGACAACTCGGCTGATGACCGTGCTGCATCTGGAAGTTGTTGCAAAGCAGTGCGAGTTTCTTGTGCCAAGTGCAGTAAGCAGCGTGTTGCAATGTGCGGCACAGGTTTCAGTCCAAAGCTGAGTGTTGTTAGTTTGAAAGTTTGAAGCTCATTGTGAGCCTCCTTCCTCCACAGGATGCATTGTAGAGGTTGCTGATCAGCATTTATGTGTATGCAACAAAACATCTTTTGTATGTCGGCGTTAATTACATATTTGTGCAATCGAAATCGTAATAAAATGTGGTTAAGTGTATCCTGTTTGATTGTGCCCTTGTGCAAAATATCATTTAGAGAATACCCGGATGAGGTTGGACAAGAGGCATCGAAAACTACCGTTAGGGGTGTTGTAGGCTTCTCTAGGTTGACAATAGCATGGTGTGGTAAGATATTAAGAGGGACGTCAGAGGCAGTACATTTCTCCATGCGTCCTGCTTGTTCAAATTCTCGCATAAATTGAGTATACATTTGTTTAAACTCTTTGTTTTTAGAAAATTTTCTCTCCAATGACAGAAAACGTTGTTTAGAAATGTGCTTGGATTCGCCTATAGAGGTAATAGGTAGTTTGAATGGTAAATTTACAACAAAGTTGCCCTCAGAGTTGCGGGTGTGCGTCATAAACACTTCCTCGCATTGTTTGTCATCATGGGACAACACTTGGTCGTCGGTGGAGGTGAATGGATTATCACCACATTCCTCCATTTCCCAGAAGTGCTTCAATTGAGCTTTTAATGATAAATTGCATCGTACCTGTGTGGGACTTGCTAAAAGACCCTGATACTATCCATCTCAGCTTTGTCTTTTGTAATATAAGATAGCCCTCTCCCAGACTATGCCTTCCGATGCACAATAAGTTGTAAAATAGCTCGGCCCCAATGAGTAAGTCAACCTCGCCCGCTGAGGAGAAGTTTTCGTCTGCTAATTTGATGTGGGCTGGAATTTTCATGAGTTTACTTTTAATTATTGATGAATTATAATTTGGTAGGTTACAAATTTGTGGCACAATTAAACAAGTCAGTTTTGTTTGAAATTGGCTATCGTTTGACTCAATATTGATGTTACAATAATCTTTGATTTTAGTTGAATTATCATTAAAACCTATCACTTCCATGTTGATATTTCTTTTGGATAGTTTCAACAATTGAAAGGGCTTTTCTATACATATAATAAAACTGTAAATAGCTGATGTCTGTACATTTTATATTTTTGTAATAAAAGTGATTGAGGGGTACTAAAAATAAGTAATTAAATACATTTCTACCATTTTTAGAATTTTCTGTCTGTCTGTCTGTCTGTCTGTCTGTCTGTTTGTTTGTTAACGTATCACGTTTAAAGTACTAATTTATATCATAAGAATTGTTAAGGAAATTATAAAGTAAACCTTCGGGTTACATTTAGTCTTTATTTCATTAAAATCGGTTCATTCCATCAAAAGTTATGATAAATATTCTGAAGTATGGGTAGGGAATTTGCTCAACGGTGGCTTTGTTTGAGTCATCAAGTTGATGTTAGCAGCGCCATCTCTCTTTAAATATATACATATAATAAAAATAATGATAACATGTTGTGTCTCTTTCTGTACATTCATCATCATCATCATCATTACAGCCCTTCACAAGTCCACTGCTGAACATAGGCCTCCCCCAAAGAATGCCACAAAGCACGGTCCTGAGCCACCTGCATCCATCGACTTCCTGCACATCTTACCAGGTCGTCACTCCATCTAGTGGGGGGACGCCCTACACTTCGCCGGCCGGTACGAGGCTGCCACTCGAGAACCTTTCTTCCCCATCGGTTGTCGGTTCTTCGAGCTATATGGCCGGCCCATTGCCACTTCAGCTTACTAATCCGTTGGGCTATGTCGGTCACTCTGGTTCTACTGCGGATATCCTCATTTCTGAGTTTATCACGCAGAGAAACTCCGAGCATAGCCCTCTCCATAGCTCGCTGAGCGACCTTGAGCTTCCTCATCCGGCCAGCAGTGAAGGACCACGTCTCAGTTCCGTATGTCATCACTGGCAACACGCACTGGGTGTACAGTCTCGTTTTCAAGTTTTGAGGTATACCTGACGAGAAGATGTGCCGAAATTTCCCGAACGCTGCCCAACCGAGTTGAATCCGTCTATTGACCTCTCGGTCGAAGTTGGACTTACCTAGTCGGACTATTTGTCCCAGGTAAACATACTCGTCAACAACTTCGAGCTTAGTGTTCCCAACAACTACCGGCATAGGTGTGACATGGACATTAAACATGATCTTTGTTTTGTCCATGTTCATCTTAAGACCTATCCGTTGGGAAACACTATTGAGGTCATTGAGCATAGTGCTTAGGTCCTCCAGCGATTCTGCCATAAGGACTATATCGTCGGCAAATCGAAGGTGAGTGATGTACTCGCCATTGATGTAGATACCGTATCCTTTCCAGTCCAGAAGCTTGAAAACGTCTTCCAACGCAGCGGTGAAGAGTTTCGGGGATATGACGTCACCCTGTCTTACACCTCTCTGCAATTGGATAGGTTTCGTACTCTGGTTCTGTACTCGGATAGCCATCGTAGCCCTACTGCAGCACCGCCCAAATTTCGACGGAATCAAAGGCTTTCTCATAGTCCACATACGCCAGACATAGTGGCAAATTGTACTCCTCGGACTTCTGTACAATTTGCCGAAGGGTATGTATGTGGTCTATGGTGCTAAAGCCTTTTCGGAAACCGGCTTGTTCGGGAGGCTGGAAGTCGTCAAGTCTGCGCGCGAGACGATTCGTAATGACTCTCGAAAACAGCACGTAGACGCGGCTCAGAAGGGAAATCGGTCTGTAGTTCTTCAAGAGAGCGTTGTCGCCTTTCTTGAAGAACAAGACCACCGCACTTCTGCTCCCCGCCTCCGGTGTAATGCCACCATGGAGGACGGAATTAAAGAGCTTCTGAAGGACTTCAAGTACCGGTTTTCCACCCGCTTTCAAAAGCTCCGCTGTTATTCCATCCTGGCCTGGGGCCTTGCCGTTTTTAAGGTGCTGGAGAGCCATTCTAATCTCGCTCAGACTGACGTCCGGGATATCATCGGAATAATGTCGGATAAGACTCGCTCTTGGATCGTTACTCACACTTGCGTGTGGCTCCAACGATGACGTGTACAGCTGCCCATAGAACCTCTCAATCTCACTCAAAATCTCAGGTGCCCCGGAAACGATGCTGCCACATTCGGTCTTCAGCTTTGACAGTTGGCTCTTTCTGGCAGACAGATCTCTGGCAAAGACTTTGGAGCCTTGGTTCCGCTCGATCGCTTCTTCAATACGAGCTGTATTAAAGTTGCGTAAGTCCCGCCGCATGCATTTGGAGATCTGTCTGTTCAGTTGCCTGTATGCTGTCAAATCTGTTGAAGAATGTAGCTTCATCTCCCGTCTAACAGCCATGAGATTAAGAGTGTGATCGGAGAGTTTTTGTGTTCTTCTGCGGCGGGTCTTGCAGAACTTAGCTCCGACCGCATGGACAGTTTCCACGAGCTTGTCATTCAAATCGTCCACTTCATTGCAGTCTTCTAGGCACTGAAAACGGTTTTGCAACTCGAGCTGAAAGGTTTCGGGACTTTGGATTAGAGCACGAGGGGGACGGAGCGTTGACTTCATTAGACGAGACCTCTCCAACTTAAGGTTTAGGTTCAGTGTGCCTCTAACCATTCGGTGATCGCTGCCGGTTTTCACCCTCGCGATCACTGAGACATCACTGAACAGTTGTCGTCTGGTCGTCATAATGAAGTCAATCTCATTTTTTGTCGAACCGTCGGGGCTCAACCAGGTCCACTTCCTGTGGGGCCGCTTCTGGAAGAAAGAGTTCATCATAAAGAGTCCCTCTTTCTCCATGAAGTCGGCCAACTGCTGGCCCCTCGGGTTCCGTTGCCCTATTCCAAATTTCCCCACTTTCAGCTCACCGTTCTCTCTTGTGCCTAGTTTTGCATTGAAGTCTCCCATTAACACCGTATATTGGGTTTTGGAGGAATGCATGGCTTTAGAGATATCCTCATACATTTCCTCCACCTCCTGATCGGGGTGTGCCGAGGTTGGTGCGTAAACCTGTATGACCTTCAGCGAATACCGTTTGGTGATTCTGAGTATAAGGTACGCAACCCTCGTCGACACACTCTCAATCTTTACAACGTTGTTAACGAGAGACTTGTGGACGATAAATCCGACACCTCCTTGGGACAGATGGTCGCCCTCCCGGTAATAGAGCAAGTTGCCGGATTCGAGGATTACCGTGTCCTCCCCCTCTCTTCGGACTTCGGATAATCCTATAATATGCCAGCGTAACTTGTCTATCTCTTCTTCCAGCTCCACAATCTTCTCGTCAGTCCTCAGGGTGCGTGCGTTGTATGTTGCCAGGTCGAGTCGTTGTAGGTGGCAACCGAACCTCCACCGGAGATTCTTAGCACCCCCTGCCCCGCCGTTACCATGGTCGCCACCGTAGCCAGGAATAGCGGGGCCGCCGGGGACTGGGGGCCGTCTCTTCGTAACTTTCATTATGGGGGGTATATTGCCATAGTTGCCACGCTTGGCGAGCGGGTTGGCAACCGCAGTTTTTTATTGTATTTTTGCCGTTACCAGGAAGATGCTGCTGCCCATCTCCTGCCTGTTTCCCTTTGTCGCCTTTTACGACACCCACGGGAAGATATGGGGTAGTGGATATTCTTAACCGCCACTACACGGCAGTTTCTGTACATTGTATATATATATTATGGTGACTAAAATCATTATGGGGAACTAAAAATAATTAAATAAGTACATTTTTATAATTTTTAGAATTGTCTTTCTGTCTGTTTGTCTGTTTTTATATGAAAGCATCACGTCTAAAGTAAACATCTTTTTTTTTCAAAGAAATCGTTAAGAAAATCATATAGCGTATCTTCGAGTTACATTTAATCTTTGTTTTATTAAAATTGGTTAATTCTATCGAAAGTTATGATTATTATTTTGAAATGTAGGTTCGAATTTGTTTAATGGCGCCACAAAATCTCAGAAATAGTAATAAAAAGATACGTGTGTAAAAAAAAACGTTCTATTATAATATATTTATACTTAAAACACAGTAAAAAAAAATATGTTTTCCTTAAATTAAAAAAGGATGTTTCCTCACAAAGAACGTAATAGATGGCGTTGTACAAATTACAACCTTTTCTGAATTGCGGTGTTAAGATTTTTCGCAGGTGAATGGTATTGACACTCACTGATAAAATTTATGTTCATGAGTCCGACGAAGCTGCAAGCCTGTTAGCTGTTAGAGCCGTGTAGGCTAACAACACAAAGCACAAACACCGGCAGAAACAGAAAAAAGAGACGTACGTACGTCGAAATTATTCAACAAAACTCGAAAACTCGACTAAAAGTAGTAAATTTGCAATAAATGTCGTGATATTGTTTTATACCCAGAATCCCTCTAAACCTCTAATACCAAATAACTTTCCTTACAGTTTTAAGATGGGGATAATAACATCGATGATGACATCGATGTTGGCATCGATAGCTCAACATCGATGTTCGATGTTTAGGCTACTCAAAACATCGATGATGACCATTATCGATGGTTTTTGTATATGTGTAGATACTTACACATTGTTTCAAAATTATGTGGGTATACAAATCAAGGGAAAAGTAACAATTAACTTGAATATCAATTTACGTAGAATAGTTATTATGCGACAACCGACAACGACACTACAAAATAAAGCGAAAGCAGTGACCATTGTGACATCACAGGTGACACTTGACAATTAAGTTTGACTCACCATACTGACATTTTTTTAGGTTAACGATGCGTTCAGGAATTCTGAATTATTCAAAATTTTTAATCTTCAGAGCAGATGCAAGATTTAGTTGATATTGATTTCGCGAGTTCGCATTGTTTGCAAGTTCCCAATTATCGATTATGGGTTCATTGACGTCGATGTTACGATGTTTGACATGTGTCAACATCGATGTTAAAACATCGAAGTTTTAATTTTTAACATCGATGATCATCTAACATCCCTATTTTAAGTGTGTTTCCCACTCAGCGTGTGTTATGCGACGATCGTAAATAAAGCGCAAGGTCAAACTTTACGCGTTGTAGGAGTGGACCCCAGTACTGATTGTTTTGCACGTGGCCAACTCTATGCCAACCTTTTTCTGTACGCCCCGGCTAAGTCTACTTCTATCGTCGTTTACACGGAAGCTCTATCATAAACGACTTAGAACTTTGAGCGTATCGATTTATTTTGTTACCACTTATTCATACAGTAATGATATAAATCGTTTAATATTCTCTTACCCTAAACGTCAAATTCTTTAAGTAAAACCTATATTCGCGAGCTACGCCGCGGGCACAGCTAGTCTGAAATAAAATTGGATTGTGAGCCACTGTCTAGTAAGACTCTCAAGTGGTGGGTTTGATGTCGCGAGTCGTATGCTCGGACCACCGTTGTAGACAAAAACACCATTTTTTCATTTTTGGTTGGGGCGGTTACCGCCTTATTATGTGTATGAATATTGATTATACCTTTATTTGCTGCTGGCTGTACAAGTTCCCTTACTGGCACTTGGTTACTTGATTGATTGGTCTGGTGAGAGTGCAGCGAGTTACTTGAAGTTGATTGTGCAACATGCATCGTAGAAGGAGTCAAATTATCAATGTGTAAAAGTGTGTTATGCTTACCTTTGCAGTACTTGCAGTGCGAAGAGCGACAATTGGTTACATTGTGATTGTTATCTAAACAGTTTGTACACAACTTAAATGATTTTACAGCCCTATAGAGTTCCCTTGCATTCAGAGCCAAGAAATTGTTGCATTGGTTAAGATAGTGCCTACCTTTACACTGTGGACACGAAGGATTTATAGTTGACTTTGAGGATGTGGTTACCAAGCTTTTCCGTGCATCCGAGCCTCCAGGTTTGGTAACATTCATGTTGTCGAGAATGTCAGGTCGCCTCCGTACAAAGTTTTTAAAGTCCTGCAACGAAGGTAGCACATTTGAGTTTTGATTTTCTTCCCATGACCGTTGCATCAAGGGAGGTAATTTTTTTGACATAAAATAAATGATAATTAAGTCTCAATCATTGACAGGTATCTTAAGAGTATAGAGTGATCGCAAATGCTTGTTTATATTATCAATTAATGCTCTAAGTGACTTGGCGTTTTCAGTGGAAATGGATGGAATTTCGAAGAGAGATCGCAGGTCGTTTGAAACTAGTAAGCGTGGGTTGTTGTAACGTTCACATAACAGCCTCCATGCCATTTGGTGGCCATCAGACGAGTATTCCACTGAATTGACAACCTCGAGAGCTCCGTCCTTCAGGCAACTGTGAAGATATTTGAACTTCTGTATTGATTTTAATGAACTTTGGTTTATTAAGGCGTCAAAAGTCTCCCTAAATTCAAGCCACTCCCTAAGATCACCGCTAAACTGGGTAATGCAATTTCGGGAAATTTTATTGAGTCAATGCATTCACTATGAGATGGTTTGGTTTCAGGTGTAATATGTTCGTTACTAAAGGCCTTAACCAGACCTTTGGCTCTGGTTAGGCTGTCGAAGTAAAGTTCCTCGAATTTGGCACGTTCGAGGATTTGAGTATCGGTGTCCTCGGACAGGCTTTCTATTTTGGTTTGAATTGAGTCAAACTTATCATAAGTTGCTATTACATTTTCGATACGTAATTCGAGGTTTATAACACCATCTGCATTGAGTGGTGTTGACAAGTTGTCGATAAAATTGGTAAATTGGGTAAGTTTACCCTTGTGGGCTGCTCTACCGCGTGAAAGCTGTTGAATATCGTCCATGATTGGATAAAAAATTGGTTAAAATTGTAATTGAACGAAAGATAGAGGGATTGGAATAGAAAATAATAAAAAAGGAACCAGCTCACTCTCCTTTAGAAGCACGTTGAGGTGTGGTCGTGGTTGCACGTGGTCATCGTTGAGGTTATGTCTCCAAGTAGTTTTTTGCGGCGTGTCACTCGGTTCCCACGCTGCTCCTTCTTGGTAATTTGCTGCAGTCCGCGCAATTGGGATCAGTCAGCGTCTTGTTGTAGTGTTCTTCGTTGGTTGGCGTGCACGTGTTCCGGCGGCTTCGCCTGTCGTCACACGCAGCTTCCACGTTTCACAGGGGTCACCAGAATGTTTGGTAGTTTGTTATGAAGGAAACACTGGAGAGGTTTTTGATTTGTTATATTTTTCCTCACGCACCTTCGTGACAACCTTTTTAATCGTAATGTCATAATGTAATGTTTTTTTTTTTTTTTTTTTTTTTTTTTTTTTTTTTTTTTTTTTTTTTTTTTTTTTTTTATAGGATAGGGGTGACAAACGAGCGCACAGTCCACCTGATGGTAAGTGGTTGCTGCGGCCCATAGACATCTACATCTATCCTCGTTTGCGAATCAAGATGCAGATGCGTTGTCACCCGTGAGGACTAAGATGGAATGCCTCATTTCCAGTAAAAAGGGCCTCCGGCCACCTGCACTCACCAAGCGAAACGCAGAGGTAAACCTCTACTTCACGCTGGTATTCTGTGAGGTCGTGGTACCACCCCGGTTCGAGCCGGCCCATCCGTACGACAGCAAAAGCTGCCGCATGGCTCTACCACTGTTAATGTAATGTAATGGCCGCTTTTCCGACTGTGTCGCTAAAGCAAGTAGCACAGATGCAGCGCCATCTATGGTTCTCTGTGTGAACCGTTTGTTCCAGTTAGGTAAGTAGTTTATGAAAGGAAAGAGAATCATAGATGGCGCTTTACAAATGGTAAGGATAGATGGCGCTAATATTTATTTAGTTTACAACACCAACACTCCTCTTCCTCCGCGACTCTACCTCGGCTGCAGCGGTAGAGGGGGCGGACACCCTTCTCACCGCAGCCCACCGACACACATCTGAAGTGGGCTCGTCAAGCCCACTTGGAGTGGCCACCTCGGGCCGGCCCTACACCACGGGCCAGCCAAGGTGTTCCTCTTTGTTCACCGTGGGTGACCAAGCCACGGCTACTAAGCCACGACAAGGCGGGAACCCGTTCGGGAGGGAGTAGGTACTAATACCTACCCGGGCATCATTTAATTACAACCCAAAAACTCCTATAACTAAACTAACCATTTATTTTTTAACCCATAACGGGACATGGCTTTATTTATACTCTAAAAACTATAACTTAATACAATTAGTGTTTACTATAAAATTATATTCACATTAATTATAATTATTTTTATTTTAACAAATTGTTTTCATTATTAAATGCAACATATTTTTTTAATTATTTGACGGCTCCGTGGCGTAGTGGCTTAGCAATGAGTTGCAACGCTTGGAGCCGCGGGTTCGAATCCCGCACGGAACAAGTATTTGTATGGCCTACAAATAATTGTTCCGGGTCTGGATGTTTGTCCTTGTGCAATATATGTTTGTAAACTGAACGCATGACGTTTTGAGTAAACATCTTTTTTTCAATGAAATCCATAAGAAAATCATAAAGCGTGTCATCGAGGTCATTTGATCTTTGTTTTATTAAAATTGGTTAGTTCTATCGAAAGTTATGATCATTATTTTGAAATTTAGGTTCGAATTTGTTTAATGGCGCCATAAAATCTCTGAAATAGTAATAAAAAGATTCGTGTGTAAAAATAAAAACGTCCTATTATAATATATTTATACTTAAACATAGTCAATAAAAAAAATGTTTTCCTTAAATTAAAAAAAGGATGTTTTCTCAGAAAGAACGTAATAGTTGGCGTTGTACAAATTACAACCTTTTCTGAATTGCGGTGTTAAGGTTTTTCGCCGGTGAATCAAAAATTTAGAGATCTTTTGTAAAGTTGATAAACATTATAAATGTTCATTGACGATTGATTATTTTAAATCTAAAAGACGGTACATTAATGTATCCAACCCATGCTTAGCCGGGGCGGAGTGCTAGTAGCAATGAAATTATTGATTTGATTTGAAGCTAGCACGTGCAATAAGTTTTCACATTGCATTACGTCGCACTGTATACATACGTATCATGAAAAGTTTCTCTATCTCTCTCGCACAGAACCAAGCTTGTGAGCTGAGACATAGACTGTTATTGTACTGCTTTTTCTATCTACATGATATACAGTGCATTGTGCTCAAATCGTTGCGTTTGTTCAAATCGTCCGCCCAATCGACCCGTGTTATTGTAATTAATTTATATTTGAGTTAGAATACGAAGTTGATAATTTCACCGATAGCCTAATTATAATAAGAGAAGGATATTCATATATATATATAATAGTCAGGTCAACGTCAACGTCAAGCCGGAATCGGGTAATAGGACAAATCATAATAGTTACTAGAAAAATATAAAAAAGATCTTAGTCATGTATTTTTTAAATTACAGTAATTTCTTTTTTTTTTTTTTTGGAAAATGTAGAGACTGTGATGGTTTTTTAGCTCCTTTAGCTATAAATCTTTACTTTTTTTCGATTTTATTTTTTTGTGTAATCTTGGGTAGTGTTTGTGTAACTTGTTGTTTTTCATTCTTAGCTAACTGCTCCAACTTAGAAGAAAATGTCACATTTATCCGGACCAAGAATGAAAAATTAATACTTCGCCCAACTTTAACTGACTGTACTGAAAAAAAAATGTACTACGCCAGTTTAGCAAGTAACCTTAAAAGTTGACGTATTTAATAGGGATTTCTTTTCTTTCGTAATTCTTTGCCGAAGCTTAGCTAAATTTTCAATTGGCTTTAAATAAACTTTCTCTTTCACTGCTCCACAGAAAAAAAAATCTAACGGATTTAGACCCGGGGAACGGGCTGGCCACGAGATCGTACCAGACCACCCTATCCATCCATACCATAGTAAGCTGGGTAGCCATCTTGTTGATACTACATCTTTCTGTAAATACTTAGTGGCACGTCTTCAAGTAAATTAGGTAAATGGTTTTGTAAAAAATCTAAATAAATTTCAGCATTCAAGACCTCTGGCAACTCAAAAGGACCTATGACTCTTCTGTTTAAAATTCCAGTCCACATGTTTATTTTAAAACGATATTGAGATCTGTCTTGTCTCATTAAATTAGGATTCTCTACGTGCCACTCGTGTAAATTATGTAGATTCATGTAACAGTTTTTTTTAAATGTCGATTCATCCGTCCACAAAAATTTTTCTAAGAATTGTAGTCTTTGTAGCATCGTTTGGCAAAACGCAACCCAACGTTGATAATCTTGAGGTAGCAGGGTTTGTACTCTCTGTATATGGTACGGATGTAACTCATTTTTTTTGTAAAATTTGGTGAGCTGTACTTTTGGGCACTCCTGTGCTTTCCTGAATTGCTCGTATCGAAGTACTTGGGTATTATTCAACTGCTTGTAGTACTATATCCTCGTAAGGTAACGAACTTCTTCCTTCACCATATACATGGTTAAGAAGTCTGCCCTCAGTAAAGAGTAGACGGTGCACATTTGTAAAAACTCGATGATATGGATAGCGATCAGCATTTTGGTATCTCTCGCGATACAGTCTAGCCGCAGCACTAGCATTGTCTCTGCATTCCCCATAAATGTAGTGCATGTTTGCTTATTCCTGTATGGTGTACACAGACATGTTGGCACTACACAATCACACTATAGTCCAGGAGAAAGCCTAGGTTGTCGTTAAAAGATCGAAACTGTCCAAATTCAAATCACAAGCAAACAAGTCCAATAAGCGAAGCAAAAAGTCGGTAAGTACGAAATAACACGAACATATACGGAAAGATGCGTAGTAAACGAAGGAGCGTAACGTACTGATCTACATTGCGTATGCCAACACTCAAAAAGTGGTGTCACTATCTATCTCACTCACCCTTTAGCATCTGAATCGAAAGCGTCACTATCGGTCTCACTCACACTTTTTTTTATAGGATAGGGTGACAAACGAGCACACAGTCCACCGGATGGTAAGTGGTTACTGTGACCCATAGACATCTACATCTATCCTCAATAAAGACTCAAAATGCAGATGCGTTGTCACCCGTGAGGACTAAGATGGAATGCCTTTTTTCCAGTAAAAAGGGTCTCCGGTTCTCTACACTCACCATACGAAACACAGCAGTGTCAAGCTGCTATTTTACGCTGGTATCCTGTGAGAGCGTGGTCCTTCCTCGGTCGAGCCGACCCATTCGTGCTACAACTATACTACTAATGTAGCTGCAGCATGGCTCTACCACGTATAAAACACTTAACACTTCATGAAACGATACTTCCTTTCGCTAAAACTGGAATCTTAGTTACGCTCAAGGCAAGCTTTGGTTACACTAAAATCAGTTTTAGTAGATAAAAATATTTTTTTTAAACTGGGATTTTTGAAAAAAAAAATTTTCCCTGTAATCTAAGAAATAATGTAGCAAGTGCTATACCATTTTAGAATCCTTATTAAATGTGGCAACTTTTAAGGTTACTTGCTAAACTGGCGTAGTTATTTTTTTTTTTCAGTATAGTCAGTTAAAGTTGGGCGAAGTATTAATTTTTCATTCTTGGTTCGGATAAATGTGACATTTTCTTCTAAGTTGGAGCAATTAGCTAAGAATTAAAAACAACAGGTTACGCAAACACTACCCAAGATTACACAAAAAAAAATCGAAAAAAAGTAAAGATTTGTAACTAAAGGAGCTAAAAAACCATTACAGGCTGTACATTTTACAAGAAAAAAAAAGAATTACTATAATTTAAAAAATTACTGTAATTTAAAAAATACATGACTAAGATTTTTTTTCATATTTTTCTGGTAACTATTATGATTTGTCCTATTACCCGATTTTGGCTTGACGTCGACTTTTGGGACACACTATATATA